AAGACTTATGAGACAAGATGTTATGATTGAAGGATCTTTTGCAACTAGCCATAAAATTCAGAGCAGATGTAAAATTTTGACAAATTACCCACCTTGTGAGCATTGTGGAAAAATTGATTTATCAACCATACAAATGTTGGAAAAGGCCAGACGGGAAGTGTAGCAAGTGCAATCATCTTGGCCATGAAGCAGTGATTTACAAAAATAAATTTGAGAATCATGAATTAGATGCACATGTGGTCAATTAGAAAGAAGGCACAAGTACCTCCTACACTATGACCAAAATTCTAGAGACACACCTTAACTAATCTAAGGTCCTATTACATCCCAAACTCAATTTATATATAATATTGTACACCTTTTTCTTAGGTGGCACACTCCATGACTCCATGCAATAGAGGCACGTGAGAGATATTTGGATGCCATGTAAGCAAAAAAGGTGTACAAAATTACAAAAAATGAGTTCGGAGGGAGGGAGGTAATAGGACCCTAGTTTGGTTAAGGTATGTCTCTGCAATTTTGGTCATAGTCTAGGGAGGTAGTTCTACCTTTTCCCGGTCAATGAAGAAGAAGAAGAAGACCATCTCTTTGTTGCAACATGTATCTAAAGTAAAGTTTCAACAGATTACTGTCTGATTGATAGTGGTTGCATTAACAACATGATTTATGACATGAGTTTGTTTAAATAATCAAAGAATACTAATATCCAAAGTTAGGATCGGATATGATGACCATATTCTTGTTAAAGGAAAAGGAAATGTTGTCATCAAAACAGATTCAAGTAATACGGAAATTTGAGATGTTCTTTATGTACCTGATATTGATCAAAACTTCTTGAGTAATTTGTCAGTTAGTAGAAAAAGGATACAAATTATCTTTTGAGGATAAGCATTACTTTATCAGTGATGGTGCTCGAAAAAAGTTTTAAATATTAAGATCAGAGGTAAACATTTTTTTATTTGATCCATTGGAAAATATTTATGTAGAACATGAAAAAGATCATAAGCTGGAAAAATTAGAAGATGATCCTTCAATGATAAAAGCAGAAGCAAAATGTGAACCTGGAAGGTTTAAAGGAGCTTCCAGTGATCCTCAAAGAATTGTACAATAGAGGAGTTATCTATGTTTTAGGAAAATGAAATGGGTCAGTTTAAATTCAAGATGCAAATGAAATTGGAAGACATGCCAAAAAGATTTAGTACTCAAGAGTTGCATTCAAAAGAAGTGAATTTAGTTCACTACAAGCCCAAAGATGAATCCGCAAATTTGTTCGCAAGGTCACTTTCGGTTATCAAGTTTGGAGATCCCAAGATAGAAGACCAAAATTTTTCAAATTCTAAAGCGAGGAGTCACTACACCATTCTAGGTCTACAGCCACACTAATTCTGGACTACATTTGTAAAGTGTTGCCTAAAGCAGTTTTGGGAACGCTTTTAAAGCGTAGCCAAAGTTTTTACCTTTTAGTCACGATAATAATGGCAACACTTCAAAAGTGTACTCTTTAATGGTATAAGCTACACTTTATAAGTGTTGTTACAATATGATATAATTGGCAACACCTATTTACATATATGGCCACACTTTTTAAGTGTCCTATTTTTATAATTGAAAAAACAACACATTATAAGTGTGGCCTTAAAATTTTCGCTAAAACTTTATATTCCCTCTAATATTTTTAACCCTCCCTCCCATTGTTTATTGGCCAAAAAAATAAAGATTAATAAATCATAAAACATTAATCAGTCTTTCATACTTCACTTTCCTCATCCACGCTTTCCTCTTTCACTGAGCTAGCTGAACCTAAGTGAAGAGAGGTGAGGAGAGCTGAAGAACCAAAGAACCAATTCTCTTCTCCGATACAGATTTGTGAGAAAAAGACATTGAATAGTTGATGTCACCAAAGATGAGCTGAAGAGTTGAAGTCATCGAAGAATTGAAGTCGCTGAAGAGTAAGTACGATCCTCTTTTCCAATACCTGTTTCGTCAAGCTTAAGTACTAAATCAGTCTTCTTGTTAGCTGAAGTGGTTGATTTTTTTTTGTGTTTAGAAGAGGTATAAGAAGGAATTGATTATTTGGGGTTGTTGGCAAGATGAACTGAAGCTAATTAGTCTCTCCGTCGTGCTTTTCTCTCAAATTTCTCACTGAAGAACACGATTTCAGACATATTTTGTTGGAATAGGGTTTATTAGAAAAGAAATTCTATATTTGAAAGTCTAAATTTTAGCTTTAGGGTTTTGATATTCTTGTGTTTTTATACAATTTTTGGGAGTGTAGCTAGTAATTTAGCTTCATCAGTTCAGCTCACTATTAGGGGTTGGAAAAAAGTTGGGATTTATTTGAGCAAAAATATTTAGAGCAGCTGAAGAAAATAGTTAAAATATATATATATAAAAACCATTCAAGGCAGGGAGAGTTAAGTGTCGATAAGAGTATCACATTTTCTAATTTGTTTCGCAGATTAGCTTTCCCAAGCTTTGTTCCAGTTCATTGCCCGAAGAAAGGTAATGTCGTTTTCCTCATAGTACTCTTTTCGCCTCTTCTATTTTAAGAGTGATATTGTGACTGTTTAAAGCTATTTTGATTAGTTTCTTTCTTTTTAGTTGATTTATCTTTGAGTTCATGTTGATTCAATATGAGATATGTGTTTCTTAATTAGTTACTTTCGCGGGTCTGATGAATATCGCTTTAAAGATTCAAGAATTTGTATTCATTGTTGTTATTCCCCTACTTGTCATTCAAAGTTTTGTTTTGTTGTTTCTCTTCCTGATCTTGCTTTTGGAATGTGCATTGGAGTACTTGGTTTTGTTTTGCTAAATGCTAGATTGCTCTCAGGGGATGTGCATTGTTACCGCACATTTTTATTCTCCCATAATCTCATAGGTTGCATATGGTTGTAGCCTGTGATTTCTATCTATCTATTGCCTTACGAAGAAATCAACAGTTGTGTTACTTCCATAGTTTTGTAGCAAAAAAAATATCAATAGGTTTATCTATTGGAATAGAGTTTATCAGGTAAGAAATTCTATCTTTAAAAGTCTAAATTCTAGCTTTAGGGTTCTGATATTCTTGTGCATATTTGAAATTTTAAACTGTAACTTAGGGCTTTGATATTCTTGTGTTGTTGATACGAATTTTGTTGATTTTTAGGACTCTAGCTCATAGTTGTATTACGTATAAATAGGCTGATTATCTTTGACAGTAATTAATTTATTCTCTTGAATGTTGAATGTACCAGCTGAAGTTCTCTGAAGAACTGGGCTGAAGGTAAGTCGTCTTTCTCTGAAAATTAAAAAGTTGAAGCTGGCGATACCTACGATTCTCTTCTCCCTAATACAGATTTCGTCAAGAGTAAGTAGCTACTCTACTGATTTTGGGTTGTAGTTGTGTACTTTTATCCCCTGTTGTTTTACTGCTTTGAACTGTGATGGTTGTTGAGAGAGATGATTTTAGTTTTCATTGCTTAAACTGATTCTCATAGCTAAAGCTGTCCCTTTTAGATTTCTTCCAAGGTTAGAGACTTTGTTGTATTTTTGTGAGTGAGTTTGTTGTCACTTGTTCTAGTTAAACTCTGTTCTGATGTGGTTTGAGTTGTCATCCTGTTGCTGCTGGTTCTTGTTTCTAGGAATCTGTCTTTCCTGTACTTTGGAATGTTGTATCTCAGCCTCTTTTTGTTGTCTTCTTTTAATTGCTTCTCTCTTTTTCTTGCTTGGTTTACCTTTTGATTTTATATAGAAACTATGAATCCATCTAATCCACATCTTGTCCTGCTTGTGAGTAAGGTCCCAGAAATTAGGGGGGGAGGTCCTGATTCAAAAATATAAAATATATTATGGATTAATTTTGTCATAATACATCTTTTCTAGGGGTATTAATCTTATAATTTCTTTTATGTTTTCTAATATATACTCTATGTATTGTATGTCGTGAGTTTGTTGAAATGCTTCTATGTTTTCTTTAATTAAATTACTTAATAAAGTAATATCTATTATAGTTTGTTGCCAATATTCTAAGTATTCTTGATTTATCATCAATCAGAATATTGGATTTCTAAATCACTCAAGTTAAATTCTGGAATTTCATCTTCATACCATAGTTGATTCATTAATTCTTCTTCTTCTTCTTCAAATATCAGCTGCCATATCATTTGTTTTAGTTCCGTAATTTCTATGTTTCTTAATACATACAAGATTAGTATTTTGTGATTTAATATCATTTCATCATGCAAAAGGATATTCATGATTTTTTAACTATAATTCCTTTATACCATATGCATAACAAATGATCTATATTAGATTACTATAAACTAGATTATTTTAACATGTTTTCCTGTCACTGTTAACATCGTACTTTCAAAGGTAATTACTTCCTAACAGCGCCTTCAACTTTGTTTACTCCCCTCTCGGCTTCTTTGCCTATGGTTTCAACCTTAGGACGGCATAGTCTAGAAGTTTTTCCTTTTTTCCTCATGTTAACAAACTAAAAAAACATGCTCAAATAATTCTAGTATATAATAACTAATATAAAATTATTTAATTATGCTATGATATTCAGGAATTAATAGATTTTAGCTATGCATAATCATAAATATATGTACCTGTGTGATATCTGTATTATTTTGATCCATAGCTTAGCTTTGAAACTGATATATTTTTATTGAGAATATTTTTGTAGTACAAAGAGGCTTGCTTTCCGTGTAGAAAGTCTTGCCTATCTATGCCATAATGGCTATCTATTTATACAAAAATAAGTAACCTTACTATAGTTACTTTTCTATACTATGATTACTTTACATCTAACTATAGTTACATAAAGTTCCACTATCTTCTAGTAATGTACACACGTTACTCACTACTTACTACTTTACATATCTTTATTCCCACTAACTTTTCTTTCCACTATCTTTTCTTTCCACTAACTTTTCTTTAGGACAAACAACTTTTCCTCCTTTGCTGATTTCTATCTTGGTTTTTATCTTGTCGGCTTTTGTTGCTTCTTGTTTTTACTCCAGCTGTACGTCTGGGATTACGTTATCTTCTCCTTGGCATTTAGAACATTGATGATCCGGATATTTGTGTCCGATAGTTTTACAATATCCTGTCATTATTTCCGATGAGATAAAGTTCTTTCTTATAGCTCTTGCAGTCGGCTGTTTCTCAGGTTTTAGTAGACTTAGTGCCCATTGCCTGAGTTTTTCCATATCTGCTGCTCTAATTTCTCGACAATTTGAATATATCATTGTTTGCTCTCTTGAATAATAACTCCATATTGAATTGTTGTTTAAATAATTAGATGTTAACTCATTTAAGATAGTAGCTATTCCAATAATTCTTTTTCCTGCATAAAATGCCGGTATCTCCACTTTTTGTATCTCGTCTTGTTCTTCTATCTTTTCTGGTATGATCATTTCTCTAGTTAATCCAATTTTTATAACTTGTATAATTGGCTTAATTTCATCATAAAGTATTTCGGCTGGTGCTGAGTAGAATCTTATATAAAAAAGGGTTCCCTTAGTTATCCTTTTGTAGTGCATGAATGCTTTGTGTAGCTCCGGTATTGTAGCTATTTCATCTCCTGTCTGGGTATATACTGTGTTTAATAATCCATAGTTATAGCAAGTTGCCACTAGATTTGCATTTGTCTTAGGTAAAGCAATTAGTTTATTGTATCCTTGTAGAGTTTGGGTAATATAATCTTCGTGTGGATTTTGGGTAGTTTTAGATCTGGGATTTTTATTCAAAAAGGTTTGTATTTTATGGATTTTTTCTATATAGGCTCTGGTTATATGATTATAGATTTTTTTGTCTTGTCCTAGGCTGTCTTTGTAGGTATTTACTTGTGGTGGTACAAATAAGGGGTTTTGATTTCTGGTTACAAATGGTTTCTCAAATATCTTGTTCATATTTGTATTAACATATCTTTTTTCTTCTTTTGTAGATGATGTGCTACCTGTAGCTGCATGTAACAAATTGTTAGTTTGAGTTTTTCGGTGTTTCCCATCGTCACCTTCTAGCTCTGGAGTTTTTAAGTCTTCCGATCGACTTAGTTCCACATGTTTACCGTCATGCTTCTGACTTTTCATTTTTTGTATCTCTTTGTCCAGGCCATCTACTTTGGTACAAAGTAATGTCATGGCATTGAATATTTTTTCAACAGTATTTTCTTGGTCTAGATCCGTCTGTGTAGCTTTGTCTTGAAATGTAATCTGCAATAACATTTTTGTTAGTACTTATTACTTCTATCGTAAATGTAAAATTCTGTATATTTAATACTAGTCTCCGTATTTCTTTGGTTGTTACCGAATCTTGTATCTTCCTTGTGATCCACCATTTTACCTGCGTATTATCTGTTCTTACAATAAATTTATTATATACTATATATGGTTCAAAGGCTAATAAACATTTATATAGTGCATATAATTCTTTTCTATTTATTTCCCATTTTATTTCGGGATTTGTAAATGTCCCTGAGTAATATCTACAATGATGTTCTATTTTTTCTTTATCGTATTTATACTTTAGTACTCCTCCATAACTTATTTCGCTTGCATCTGATTCTACTATGTATATAATTTTTTTATTTTCATCTGGAAAATATAATTTAGGTAACTTCTTACATAATGATTTTATTTTTTGTATTTGTTCTTGATCTTTTTTATCAAAATAATATTCTACGTCTTTCTTTAATATTTTGTGCAAAGGTTTTAGATTTTCTGCTAAATTAGGTATATATTCTCTTACTTGGTTTACTAATCCTAAAAATGATTGTAATTTCTTTTTCGTATCTATTTGTTCGTCAGAGTTTATTATTTTCTATACTATATGGTTTTGCATTTTTATACCATTCTTATCTATTTGTATTCCTAAAAATTCTATCTGATTTTTCATTATTTCTGCCTTTTTCTTACTTAAACTTATTCCTGAGTATGTTATAATATGTATAAATTTTTCTAACAATCGTATATGATCTTCTTCTGTTCGTGAATATAACAATATATCATCTATGTATACTATACAATTTTCTAGTTGGTTAAAATAATTATCCATAAAATGTTGGTATCTTCCTGGTGCATTTTTATATCCAAAAGGTAGTACGTTCCATTCATAAAATCCTTGTGGTACTGTAAAAGCTGTTAATTTTTTAGATTCTTCTTCTAACTTTAGATGATAAAATCCTGATTTACAATCAAATTTACTAAAATAATTATATCCTTGTATTTGTCTTACTTTTAATACTTTGTTAGGTATGGGGTAATTATATGTTTTTGTCTTTGCATTTAAATTTCTATAGTTAATAACCATACGACTTTTACCTCTTTTTTGTTCGCTGTGTTTATTTACTATGAATGTTGGACTTGTATGTTTGCTATTACTTTCTTGTATATATTTGTTATCTAATAATTCTTTTATATGCATTTTAAATTCTTTTAGATCTTCAAAATTATATTTCAATGGTTTTTGGGTTATTATGCTATTTTCATCAATTAGTTCAATTTTTACTTTTGTTTTATGGTTTTCCCATCCTTTTAAGGGATCTTCACTATATAACATATCTAATTTTTCTTGAATTAATTTTAATTTGTCTATTGAAAATATTATTAATTCTATATTGTGAGTATTTTCTTTAACATTTTCTAGTTTTTGAGTGATTTTTTCACTTCCTTTAATCCATGGTGTAGGTTTTCTATTTTTATTACTTACTCTTTTTGCTCCTATCTTTTGCTTACATGGTGTGGTAAACCACCAATGTGTTTTTGTTATTACATGGGGATATAGTTTTTCTAGAAATGGCATTCCTAAAAGCATATCTTTATTTATAAATTCATAACTATATATATCTTCTATAGTTAATATTTTATCCCATATTTGTAACTTTATATTTTTTGCTTTATATGTTATCATACTTCCTTTATTATTAAATCCTGTGACGACTATAGGTGTTTTTAGTTTTTCCCATTTTTCATCTGGTAGACAGTTATGTTTACACATGTTTGCTTCTGCTCCTGTATCTATCATTGGAGTATAATATCTGTTGTAGTAATTTTCTACTATTATTTTTGCAAGTATATAAATTTTCATAATGCTCTTTTTACTATGATCTTTTTATTTTTATAAGTTATTGTTAATTGGGTATTTTCTAAATTATATGGTTTCATTTCTTCTAACCATTTTATTCCTAATATTATATTATCTTCTTGGTATATTTTAAAGTCTATTAATATTATTATACCTCCTATGATTATTTCTTTTTGAGTTGTCTCTTCTATATGTAACAATTCTTTTGAGAATTCTGGGAATACTTGTTCTTTAGAGGTTATCTCTTCTTCCGATACTAATTCTCTTGGTATATAATTTTCTTCTTGTCCAGTATTTATTATAATGATATGCTTTCTTTGTTCTATTATTCCAGTTATATAGTAGTGATATTGTTCAATTTCTTTTATTCTTTGATATTCTACTGATTTTCTTAAGGGTTGGGACGTATCAATATTTTTATCTATGTTTTTTATTCTTTTTGATATACTTATCCTATCACTCACTATTTCTAGATCCTCTTCTATGTCTATTTCTTTGTAACTATAATCATTATTATCTATCACTGTTACAATTTGTTCAAAAGGATTCTCTATTTTTATTTTATTTATCTTATTTTTTGTTGTTATCTTATGTTTTGTTGTTAATACATATAGATTTTTACAGCGGGCTGTAAATATTTTACTTCCTGGGGCTAACTCTATTCCTGACATTTTCCAATATAATACTAATGATTTATCTATATTTCTATCATTTATTGCTACTGAATAATTAGCACTTATTATAAACTTAAATTTTTGGTAGATTAAATTTCCTTTTACCGCACTTATTATACTTCTTTCTATTGGTTCTACTATTCTGTCATCCGCCAAATATATTTCTATTGGTGTATCTATTCCTTCTCTAAAACAAGCTTTTATTAATATTTCTATTCCACCTAAGTGTACGTATTTTATTGGTTCTTTAGCTTTAATTTCTTGTATTTCTTTATTTATTATCCTTTTATTTATTATAGGCATTCTTGCTTTTCCTTTGGTATATTTACAATCTATTATATGTTCTTTATGACTTACTACATAGTATTCCTCTTTTTGTCTTTTAAATATATTTCTTATTAATGGTATCTTAAATATTTTTTCTACACTGAGATCTAATTCTTTTCCTTTTATTTGTTCAAATATATTGGTATCAAATATTACCTTCTGTTCCGTAGATTCTTCATTTGTATATTCTTCTTTATTTATCATTTGTACGTCTTTTTCAGTCATTATTTTCTTCTATTTCATTTTCAGATATTTCGTTTTCAAGTGATTCAAATTCATATATACTATCATCACTATCTGGTTCATAATCTATATAATCTATTTGTGTATATGTTTCATCATTAATTATTATTTCAGATATTTATTTTTTCTTTGGATTTTTGGGTAATTTACAATCTTTAGCAAAGTGTCCTAGTTTTCCACAATTATAACATGTACATTCTGTTATTTTTTTCTTTGGTCTAAAAGGTCTTTTTGCTTTAGTATTTTTTATGTAATATCTTCTTCTTGGTCTTTTATACCTATATTGGGATTTATATTTTTTATATTTCCCTGGTTTTCTATATTTCTTTTTATAATAATTATCATTGCATCCGAATTGAGGTGCTATCTTATCTTTACAACATGCTAGGTTTTTAATTATTGTTTTTTCCATTTTTATATCTTCTCTATATTTTTCACATATTGCTGAATACCATTTTTGTAGATATCTCATTCTTGCTCCAAGTGTATCTTGTAATCCTGCTTCGTTCCAATCTTTTATTATTTTAGAACTAAATGGTTCTGGTAATTTTGTAAAATATAATTTTCTTATTTCTTTTGATTCTTCTGCATTATATGTTCCTTTATAATAATATTCTCTAAATACACATGTATATTCGTCTATGTAGCACATGTTACATATAGCTAGTTTTAACATTAAATTCCTATGTAGCTGTTTTTCTTTATTCTGCTCTTCTACTTCTGTAGTTGTACTACTGAATTCATTTCTTATAGCTATTTCATATTTATTTAATATATCGATTGGTGTGGTTGCACTATCTCCGTCTATTTTCTTATTATTTCTTAATGTTTTTATGCTTTCTTCTGCTAAATTTTGTAACCATAATTGTACCGTTCCTAAAAGTGTCCTTTCTATATATCCTGGTACTTTTGACATTCCGATTTTATTATCTATTAGTTGTTTTGATATATATCCTACCCATAATTGTATTGTTTTATTTATATCCGTTACACAATCTAGATCTAAAAATCCGTTATTGCGGGATGTTGTTGATGTTGTCCATTTTTTGTTTAGTCTCTTATTCCATAAACTATCATATCTGTCAGAATCTTCATAACTAATTGTATAATAATTAGGTCTTAGTGTTTTTGGATTTTTTACTTCTGGTGTACTCGTACTTGCTTCATTTTTAACTTCTTCTGTATTTATTTCTATCTTATTGTTAATTGTTACGGTTTCTTCTATTTTTTCTATTATTTCCGTATATGTTTCACTTATATCTGAGCCTTGTTCTGAGCAGTTTTCATCTATATCAACATTATCAATTCCTATATCTGGGGTTTCTTTAGTTAGTTGTTCCTTAAATTTTTCTATCTCCATTTTTAAGTTTGTTTCTATTTCTTTTTCTTTTTGGTTAGCCGCATATAATTCTTTAAGCATAGTTAATTCTTTTTCTAAGGCAATTATTTTATCATTTTTTACTTCTTCAATCTGTTGTATTTCTAATTTTGCTTGTTGTTTTATTGTATCTATTTCTTTTTTCCTATCTATTTCTTCATTTTCTCTAGTTATTCGTACCATTGCAGTTAGACTATCTTCTAATCTTACCGTTTCTTTTTCTATCATTAGATATAAATTTTCACCTATTTTTTTATACGTTCTTCCTAAATTTGAAAATATTATTTTTATTTTTAATCCTTCTAGATTTTCGTAGGTTTTTTCTTCTATAGCAAATTCTTCCTTATTCATTTTAAATTATGTTTTAATTTATGCTCTATTTTTTGTATATCTAATTGTAATTTAAATATTACTTTTCTTTGTGCTAGCAAAGATTTTTGACATACTCCTGCATATATATTGTATTGTAATCTTTCTTGCTTATGTTTCAACTCTTGTCATTTTATTATTACTGTCCTTA